GCTCATCATCTTAGATTAAAAGGTATACTAATAATTTATTAAATTATCAATATGAAGATCCGTTAGAATTATATAAGAAACTATATGATGGAGAATCATTTAATTTTAATCTTTTACAACTTAGACCATCATTTGAATTTACTAAAGATTTTAAAATTAAATCAAGATCTCAATTTTGTAGAAATATTAAATTTAATACTGAATTGGGTTCATTTTAAAAAATATAAATGTCTCTTTCAAATGAACAAGAATTATCTAAATTTTATAATACTTATAAAGATAAAATAGCATATGCATATAATAATAGAGATAAATTATATGGGATTCATCCTAATACTGACTCAAAACACAATTTAAAAATTTTTTATTCTGGTATTTATAATTATTTTAATATTAATAATAATAGAACACAAAAATTATTAGATGATATATATGTTATAAACAATAATAATAAACGAAGTATAAATACAAGTATAACTAAAATGCTAGAAGCTACTGGTTCACATGAAGTTAAAAAAGATACAAATACACCTAAACCAGAAGTTAAAGAAGTAAAAGAAATTAAACAAACACCAGAAATTCAATTAAATGCTGAATTAAGACCTCAACCTTCAGTTCAACCACAAGGTACAACTACTACCATAGCTACTTATCCACCAATTAATTATTTTAAGAAAGATAGAACAATAAAACAATTATTTAATGTAGACATGAATCAACATGTTCCATCATTAGCTAAAAATTTATATACTTATTTCAATAACAAAGATATAATTTATGCTAATAATTTTTAACCATCTCCGCCTAAATATTCATTTTATAATAAAAATTTTGCTTATAAATTTGTTGCAATACCAAATACTTATATGTTTGATATATTGTATTTCTCTGATAAAGATAAGAGAGTATCTAGTCAACATTATATTAATCCTGAAAAACATAATCTAATTAAACCAGGTTTTGATCATAGAACTCATAAAACTAATTCATTACAACCATACCTAATAGGTATAAACGTTAATACAAGATATGGGTATGTTATTTCTATTAAAGATAAAACTGCATCATCAATTATAAATGGATTTGAAGAATTATTTAAACAAGGATTAAAAATGACAAATTTAATATTTGATGGAGAACGAGGTATATCATCAAATGATTTTGCTGATTATATTAATTCTAAGAACATTAAATCATTTGTTACAGCAACAAAAATTCATACTTCTACAGCTCCTATTGATAGATTATGTAGAACTATAAGAGATTTATATGTCAAATATTATATTTTAAATGATGATGAATATAAAAATATAATTAATTCTAGATCATTTCAAAACATGAAACGAAAAGTATTACTCCAATACATGACTAAAATACGTAAATTATTTAATGAAGGAGATCCAAAACGAATTACTCCAGTTCCAACAACAGAAGAAGTATATAAATTAATGCAATATTATAATGATAGTTGTCATGATGGTTTAGTAAAAATAATTCAAGAATGTAAAAAATTATATAATTTTTATTATTTTAATCCAAAATATAAAACACCAAATATGATACAAAATGATAAAATGTTAGATAGAATAATTATATCCTATTGTCAACATTATAATCAAAAAATAAGAAATAAATTAAAAAAATCAAAATATGATTTTGACATTGAGGAAGATGTTATTTTATTTGATGTTGAAGATGGAAATTTAAGAAAAAATAATAAATATATTGATTCTAAAAATTGGAAAATTTCCTTTCCTTATGGAAATAATTATGAAATTTATAATGAAGATAATGATAATTACGAATCTAAAATTGTATCTAGATATTAATTAGAAAAGACTTTAAGAAGACATGATTTATAAATTATTTGACTTCAAATTTTATTTTTTTTCATAATAAATGAGTAAAGAATTTTACGATAAAGGATATAGCATAACAAAATTAGCACCAAAAATTGATAGTTTTGGAACTAAAAGTGGATATGATAATCAAGATGTTATCGATTTTTCAACTATGGAACCAGATAAAGTTAGTGCTAAATATCTAAATTTAGGTGGTACAGATCTTGTTGGTGATAAATATCAATTAAAATACAATAAAGAACATTAGACCCAAAA